TCTTCCTTTCTCACAGATAATCTCTATTTTCAGTTTGCTGATTACTTTTCCAGACCTTTTTCTATGCATCTACACACATAAATAGAGAGAAATGTTTGTGGTTTTATTGGAGGGAATGGCGCAGATTTACACACATGGCATCATGATCATTCTGCAACTTCTTTTTTTCACTTAACAACATATCCTGGAGATCTAGCCATGTGAGTATATATGGATCTACCTCATTCTATTAAACCGCTAAACACAATTCCATGGTATGGTAATTCCACAGTTTATTTAATTGCTCTGTTTGTAGAAATTTAGACTGTTTAAGTTGTTTTTCATTCCATAACCAAAGCTGCAGTGAACATGCTTTCTGTATGCTTCTCAGGAGCATGCACAGCTGCTTCTCTAGGCTGCATACTTAAAGGTGGAACTGTTGGGTCATAAATCATTCACATCTAAAATTTTAATAGATACTGCCAAGTTTGCCCTCCAAAAAGTCTACATCAAGTTTCAGTCCCATCAACATGAATGAAATTACCTCGTGTTAGTGGATAATATACCATCTTTTTGTTTTTGCAGATCTGATGGATAAAAAATATTTCATTGTTTCATTTTGCATTTCTCTAATTACTGGGGAAGTTGAATGACCATCATTTCCCATGTTGATTGTACATTAGTATTTCCCCTTCTGTAAACTATTTATTTCTTATTGAATTGTAGAAGCTCTTTTTCCATTTTAGAAGAATCCTTTGTCTATTATTTAGGCTGCAAATATCTTCTCCCCATCTGTAGCTTGTTTTTACTTTTGTTTATGGTATCTTTCAATATAAAAGGGTTTTTTATTTTAATGAATTTAAATCCATCAGTCTTTTCTTCTATGACTTTTGAATTTTGCGTCACGATTGGAAAAGCCTTCTCTACCCCCAAAGTTATAAAAATATTCTCTGATGTTTTCTCCTTGTATTTTTAGAAATCTGTTTTTAGTCCAATGGGAATCTATTTTTGTGAATGGTGTTTGTGTGAGAGGGTCTCGTTTTTTTTCCTAAATAGATGGCCTATTTTCCCAGCATCATCTCTTGAATAGTCCATTCTTCCCCTGCTGACTTACATATGCTAAATTTCCATATGAGCAGGAATCTGGTCTTAGACTGACTTTTCTGTTCCACTGCTCTTTTAGCTGTTCTGATGTCTTTACATCCTTACTTTCCATTCACTCAGCAATCACAGTAATCTGGCTTCTACCCACAGTTCCCCTCGAACTATTATTCTGAAATGTATTACTGACCTTCATATCACCAAACCCAATGAATATTTTTCAGTTCTGGTCTTCCTGGATACCACGTATCATTCCCTCCCATATGCTACATGATTTAGCTGTCCCTTGATTCTTCAATCAATAAAAATCATGATCATAGTATCTTCAGTTTATGAGGCAGTAACTCTGTGCCAGGTGTTTGAGCATTTCACATTCCACACACGTCAAATGTGCTTCACCACAACTCTCTAAGGTAGGTGTTATTATTATTATTATTACCATCATCATCATCCCCATTTTACAGATGAGAAAACTGAGGCATAGAAAATGTAAGTACCTTGTTCAAGATCCCTGGGCTAAAAAGACAGCAAGATGAAATTTGAAGCCAGGTCTGAGACCAAAGCCTAGGTTCCTAAGCACTCCCCTCTCCAGCCTGTCCTTCTCAGTCTCTCCCTTAAATCCCCTTTTCTCCAGCATCCTTTTTTATTTTTATTTTTCGAGATGGAGTCTCACTCTGTCGTCTAGGCTGGAGAGACATGGCATGATCTCAGTTCACTGCAACCTCCACCTTCGGGGTTCAAGCAATTCTTGTGCCTCAGCCTCCTGAGTAGCTGGGATTACAGGCACACACCACCATGCCCGGCTAATTTTTTTGTATTTCTAGTAGAGACGGGGGTTTCACCATGTTGGCCAGGCTGGTCTTGAACTCCTGGCCTCAAGTGATCCACCCACCTCGGCCTTCCAAAGTGCTGGAATTACAGGCTTAAGCCACTGTGCCCTGCCTCCAGCATCATTTAAATTGTAGCTTTCCGCAGTATCCGGGCTTAGTCATTCCTCTTCCCAGTTTATGCATGTGCCCTTGTAAAGCGGGATATTCTAATGCCCTGTTTCAATGCAGTTTCACTGACATATCTATGCTAATATGGCCCTAACAGCATGAAGAAAACATTGCTTTTTATTATACATCCCTGGAGCTCACTCCACCCTTGCTCCTAGTGCAGTTTCAAGGAGGCTTTTCATTTCTACTTATTTGATTTATTATAAGTATGCATCACATTTATAATCAGGAAGAAACAATAGGGATATCTTAAAAATATAACGGAAGGAGATTTGCCTCTGAGGGGCAGTATCTGTTCAGTCCTCCCAAGCCATTATTATCAAGGCATTGTCCAATGTTAGATATGTTGAATGTATGTAACTGAAAGAATTGTAAGAAATGTAATTGAAGTTTCTGAGCCATCTGCAGCTGAGATTAAGCACTCATAATGTGGCCCAAATATCCTTTCTCCAAAGTTTAATTTATTCTCAACCAAACAAGATTAGCACAATAAGCACGCCTATAAAAAGCAGAGGTGGCCAGGCCCAGTGGCTCATGCCTGTAATCCCAGCAATTTAGGAGGCTGAGGCTGGGGGCGGGGGGGGATCACTTGAGGTCAGGAGTTCGAGACCAGCCTGGCCAACATGGTGAAACCCGGTCTCTATTAAAAATATAGAAAAATTAGCAGGGTGTGGTGGTGTGCAACTGAGTCCAGCTACTCTCAGGAGGCTGAGGCAGGAGAATCACTTGAACCCTGGAGGTGGAGATTGTAGTGAGCTGAGATTGTGCCACTGCACTCCAGCCTGGGTGAGAGTGTGTGACTCCAGCTCAAAACAAAAAAAAAAAAAGAAGAGATGTCTTTTTTCTTTTTTCTAGATTTTCAAATGCAAAACAGAACTCAGTTCCATTATTAAGAAGCTACATATATTTATTCAGTATAAGGAAGTGAGTGTGGCTGTTGTAGTAGCTTTAAGGGGGAAATAAAAGAATTTGACATAAAGTTCATCTAAGCAGCAAGAGAATCCTGAAAGGATGAGAAGACCCTCTGCTTAAAATGATGAATGGCCCTTTCTGAGATAAGCACATGTGATAACCATGTGACTTCTGGTTAAATGCAGATGGTACCTGACCCACCCCTTATCACGTCCCCATCTCTGAGCCTCACCTAGTCTTCACTCACATACATTCTCAACCCCCCACATCTTTTTGTTTTGTTTTGAGACAGAGTCTTGCTCCGCCGCCCAGCCTGGAGTACAGTGGTACAATCTCAGCTCACTGCAACCTCTGCTTCCCAGGTTCAAGTGATTCTCCCGCCTCAGCCACCCGAGCAGCTGGAATTACAGGCACCCACCACCACACCCAGCTGATTTTTGTATTTTTAGTAGAGATGGGGTTTCATGATGTTGGCCAGGCTGGTCTCGCACTCCTGACTTCAAGGGATCTGCCCGCCTCAGCCTCCCAAAGTGCTGGGATTACAGGTGCAAGCCACCTTGCCTGGCACCCCAACATCTTTCCTGGACCCCTCCTACCTGTCTGCTTATTCCTGTTCAGTCCCTTTTCAGGATGTCTTTTCCTCCATCTATTGACTTAACATCCTGAGGTTTTTGTGTTAGCCCAGTGTTCTTCTTACTTTACTCTGATCCCTGGGTGATTTTACATGTGTCCATGGTTGGAACATATCACCTCTACCTTGATAACCCAATCTATATTTCTAGCCTCTTCTGATCTCCATCTCTGTGTGTTCAACTGCCTACTGCTGAAGGTCATTGCGTATCTCAGTATTCCTCAGACAGATCAAACTTGACATGTCCAAAACAGAGCTGATTATTTTGAACCCTGGTTCTCTCATGGAACGCCATCACCAATGCCCACTCTACAAAGCCAGAAATTTGGGCCTCATTCTAGATTTCTCTTTACACTTCACAACCTCACACCAAGTCTCTACCAAGTCTTGTTGACATTTACCTACTCAGTATTCAGCAAATCTGTCTCCTCTTCCCTATCTCAGCACCTATTTTACCTCTTGCCTCGATCATAAAATCTTCTGTGATCTGGCACCTGCGTACCTCTTCAGCCTCATCTCCCCGTTTTTTCCCCAAGCTTACTCCAAATGCTAGCCCAGGGGCACAACCAGGTTTTTCCAGCCCTTATGCTTATGCAATTTGAAAGACTCTCTGAGGAAAATAATACAACGTTGTGATTGAACATTAGTTACAGAGCTTTGGAAGGGGCCTGTGCAATCTTCATTAGCTTCACAGTGACTCTGCCCTCTGTCTAGCCAAAGAGAGCAAGCTGCACTTCCCTAGAACGTACCAGAATCCTGCACATCACTTTGCCTTTATACAGGCAGTTAATTCTGCCTGAGATGCCCCTCTCTCCCTTCCCTTGTCTGTCTGGCAAAACAGTTCGTCCTTCAAGAGTCAGCTCCGGAGGCACATCCTTTGTGAAGGCTTCCCTGACCTCCCTACGTAGAACTGACTGTTCTCGCCTTTGTGTTCTCGTTGTAACTTGTCGTTTATCTCTTTGTACCCTGTCCTTTACAGAACATCTTAAACTCTATGGAAATTATTTGCTTAAAACCGGTTTTGCCTGTGAGTGCCTCAAGGGCAGAGACTAAGCCATTCCTTTTTAGATGGTCAGAACTCCACAGTACCTGGCGCAAGGTGGGAGCTCAATAAAAGTTTGCCGCATGGAATTGAGACCTGACCCATGTATATTAGAAAGACACCCTTCTTTTGGCAAAGTGAGTGGAGTGGAACAGTTGCTGTAGACAGGGACACTGGACGGGGCCGATGCTTGGGAGGTACCTGCTGCTGCCCACACCATTCTGGGAGGACAGGCCCAGGCCTGATAACTGTGCTGTCTTCAAGACCCACATGGTGAGTTCCTCTGTGCGGCCCTCTACCAACCTCTCCACCTTTGCCACCCCACCGCCTTCCTTACCTGTCCTCTTTGTTGATCTGGTCCCCAAAGCCAACTGTGCTAACGATCGTGAGCTTTAGCCTCACGTTGCTCTCTTGGAGGTCATAGGTATTAGACTGGAGCTGGACGCCCGGCTGTGTGTGGGTGGCTGGCTCCCCTTCGAACTTGGTGTTGAACAGGGTGTCCATGAGGGTGGACTTGCCCAAACCTGTCTCTCCTGAAAAGCAAAAGGATAAATTATGGTCTGTTCACATAGTGACTATTCAGCCCTTACACATCATGTCTCAGATACACATTTGTTGACATGGGAAAATGAACATGATAAAACATAAAGCAAAAAGCAGATAGAAGCAGATGAACTGTATGATCTCAGTTAAATGAAAAAGACTAACAGGAACGATATAGATGGATCAGTAGTAGTTATCTCAGATAGTAGAATTGAGGTAGTTTTCATTTTATTCTTCCAATTTTTTTTCTGTCATTTGGAAATTTTACCTTGAGTATACACTGCTTTTTTTTTTTTTTTGAAATGGAATCTTGCTCTGTCACCCAGGCTAGAGCGCAATGGTGCGATCTTGGCTCACTGCAACCTCTACCTCCCCGGTTCAAGTGATTCTCCTGCCTCAGCCTCCCAAGTAGCTGGGATTACAGGCGCCCACCACCATGCCCGGCTAATTTTTGTGTTTTTAGTAGAGATGGGGTTTCACCATCTTGGCCAGGCTGGTCTCAAGCTCCTGACCTTGTGATCCACCCGCCTTGGCTTCCCAAAGTGCTGGGATTACAAGCGTTAGCCACTGCACCTGGCCGAGTATACATTGCTTTTATAGTCAGAAAAAGAAATTGTTATAGGCAGTGATGGAGAGGTATAGCTATGCCTAGAAAAAAAAGACTGGAAGGAAATACAATATACTCTTATCAATGGCTATCTCTGAGTGGTGACCTTATGTGTGGTTTTCATCCCTTTCTTTATGCTTTTCTATATTTCCCAAGTTTTCTAAATGGAATATGTATAGTTTTTGTCATAAAAATTACAGGAGTATTTTAATTTTTTTTTAAAAAGGACAGCAGTGGCCAGGCGTGGTGGCTCACGCCTATAATCCCAGCACTTTGGAAGCCTGAAGCAGGCAGATCACTTGAGGTCAGGAGTTCAAGACCAGCCTGGCCAACATTGTGAAACCCTGCCTCTACCAAAAAAAATATTATACATACACAATTTAGCCAGGCATGGTGGCAGACGCCTGTAATCCCAGCTACTGAAAGGCTGAGGCAGGAGAATTACTTGAACCAGGGGAGGCGGAGATTGCAGTGAGCTGAGATCATGCCATTGCACTCCAGCCTGGGCAACAGAGTGAGACTCCATCTCAAAAAAAAAACAGTGGTCCCTTGTCAAACAAATATCCTCTCATTCCAGTCCCCGCCTCTCCTCCCTGCCAAGCCTAAACAGCCTTCTGGGGATGCCCAGATGTGCCTCCCAGTGGTGAAAACTATGCAGGCTCCTGGCTTATCCTCCCATCCTGGTTGAATGGTTGAACTTTCGGTGAGACCATTTTTAACTAAGAGGGGTGGGGTGGGGAGACTTAGCAGGCCACAAAAATTCTTCTTCTTTTTTTCTTTTTTTTTTTTTTT